ACCTAAAGTACAATAAAAGAAAATAGAAAACCAATAGAAAGAAAAAAAAAATCCCGAGAACTGCATTCATGGCCCTTCCAGTCTCACCTCTGTTGGTTCTCCATCTCATACCTTACACACTACTGAGTAACTTCCAGGTCTCCCTAGAACTCCTTGCATGCTTCCATGGTCCACTGCTCCTACAGCCTCACAGGAGTTCCCCCAGCTCCCTTGTCTGCTTCACGTCTACTTATTCATGAAGACTTGACTCCAGTACCACCCTCTCTAGGAAGTCTTATTCAGCCCAAGCTTCTTACTGCCCAAAATTTAGAATTTGCCTCCTTTCAGCAACCATAGCAGCCTGATTTTTTCTTTTTACAGAAGTTTTCATATTGTTCTCTTTTTATTCGTTGAACAGGCATTGCTTGAGTTCCTACCACGTATCAGCATTCTGTTAGGGGCTAAGACTAGAAAGAGGAAAGCACTTTCTAATAACATTTTAATAGAGGCAACATGAAAACAATACAGTATAATAGGGTTGCTGCAAAGCAAAGTCAAAACACCTACCATTTCTCATCAGTAGAACAAAGGAAAAGAACCACATGATCGTCTCTATGGATACGAAAAAAGCATCTGATGAAATCCAACCCCCTTTCTTGATGATAACCCTAAAGAAGATTGGAATAAAAAGGAGATTCCTCAGTATGATTCAGGGCATATATGAAAAGCCAACAGCCAACATTATACTTAATGGAGAAAGACTGAGAGTATCCCCTTGAAATCAGGAACAAGACAAGGGTGCCTGCTCTCACCACTTCTCTTCAGTATTGTATTAGAAGTCTTAGCCAGAGCAATAAGACAAGAAAAAGAATCAAAGGTATCAATATTGGAAAGAGGAAGTAAAATTACCTCTATTTGCAGATAATATGATCCTATATAGAGAAAGTTCCAAAGAGTCCACAAGAAAACTTGTAGAGCTAATAGAGGAATTTCGCAAAGTTGCAGGGTACAAGGTCAGCAAATAAAAATCAGTTGGGCTTCTATACATCAGCAATGAGAAATCTGAAAGGGGTATTAGGGAAACAATTCCATTTACAGTCTCATCTAAGAAAATAAAATACCTAGGAATAAATCTAACCAGGGACATGAAGGACTTAAACAATGAAAAGTATAAAATACTGCTGCAAGAGATTAAAGAAGACTTAAATAAATGGAAAGATGTTCCATGTTCATGGATCAGAAGACTTAATATTGTTAAGATGTCAGTACTACCCAAAGTGATCTATAGATTCAGTGAATTCCCTATGAAAATTCCAATGGCCTTCTTTACAGAAATAGAAAAACCAATCATCAACTTTATATGGAATGGCAAGAGGCCCTGAATAGCTAAAGCAATATTGAAAAGAGAACAAAGTAGGAGGGCTCACGCTTCCTGATTTTAAAACATACAGCTACAGTGATCAAAACAGCCTGGTACTGGTATAACAGTAGACACGTAGACCAACAGAATAGAATTGAGAGTCCAGAAATAAGCCCACACATCTATGGTCAACTGATTTTTGACGAGGGTGCTAAGTCCATTCGATGGGGAAAGAAGAGTATCTTCAATAAATGGTGCTGGGAAAATTGGATTTCCACATGCAGAAAAAGGAAATAGTATCCATGCCTGACACCATAAACAAAAACAAATTCAAAATGAATTAAGGACCTAAATATGCAAACTAAAACCATTAAATTCTTAGAAGAACAAGCAGGGGCAATGCTGTCAGGCCTATAATTGCAACAATAGATTATCTAATACAATAAAAACATAAACAGCAAAAGGCAAAATAAATAAATGAGACTTCATACAAATTTAAAACTCTTGTTCATCAAAAGACTTTACCAAAAAAGACAAGCTACTGACTGGGAGAATATCTCCAGAAACCATATATCAGACAAGAATCCAATAACCAAAATATATAGAAAACTCAGACAACTTAACAACAAAAAGACAACCCAGCCATAAAATGGGCAAAGGACTTGAATAGACATTTCACTGAAAAGGACATTCAAATGGCCACCAAACACACGAAAAGATGCTCGGTGTCACTAACCATCAGAG